ATCTTGTTGACCCTTAGCCAAATTCATGAACATCTCCTGAAATTGAGTGTTTTGAGCTTGTAGCGCCTTGATAGCTTGATCAGTTGATGTTTCAGAAGACATAATGCTGAAATAAACAGCGAAGAAGATGAGAAACCTGTAATGGGTACCTGTTATGAGGTGCATGGAATGAAATGCGCATGATATGATTTCAAATACTTTAGAGATTCAAATTCGTAAACCAAAAATGAAACACACTTTATTAGATAAACTTTGAATTCAAATGTTCAATAGATGCCTTTAAGGTGTTACAAAAAAGTGAAATACTGAAAAGTAAATCAAAACTAGAAATAATCAAAAAGACAATCAGCGATCCCATGGTCGTTTGCCCTTACTGCTGACATAGTCATTGAGGATCTGCTCATTCTCCAGCTGCCTTGTCAACTTCTGGATCTTCCGCTCTTGCTCGTGATACTTCTCTCTGTAAGTATCTCTTTCTTCCCTCAGCTGCATCCAGGACCTCTTCAATGCCCCAATGTCAGTAGGCATGTAAGGGTGTAGGATGGTAGGAGGAACCCCCTCTTCATCAGCAACTTCAACAATTATAGGCAAGACAACTTTGTAGGGCATTCCCAGCTTTTGGGCACGTATGCGAACCCATCGGAGATATGGTTCCATTGGTAGAGAAGTCTTCACACCCAGCTCGTGTGGATCAGACCTGTGTACCATATCCCAAGCTCTTATGAATCTGAGGCGTTGCTCGTCACTATCCCCTTAGAAATCAAAGACAATACTTGGCATTAGTAACTCATGAGGTCCTTCCCTCCTAGCTCGCCCAAACTGACGTAAGGCCAAACACGAATTATAAGTGATTCCTCCATGGGTTCCTAACAGTGGAATATTAGGGTATTCCCCACATCGATCAATAATAGCCACATCTTCCATACCCTTAATAGTCCAAATGATATCATTATGGGAGAGAGACATAATCCTGTAGGCCCAACCCATGCCTTCCTTGTTCTTTAAAACTTATTTGGGGAGGTGAGAAATAAACCACCTCGCCAGCAATGGTGCACAGCACATAAGGGTTCCCCGTTTCCGAGCAGTACGGGCATAAAGAGAGTGTAAAATGTTACCCAAGAGAGTGGGCACAGGATTACTGGACATGAAAATCTTCACTGCATTCACATCGATGAAGGAATCCGAGTTAGGAAACAACACCAAACCATATATGAGAAGAGCCAGAATGTCTTCAAATGCCTGGAAGTCTAGACTGTCCCAGAACTGATTAGCCTTACCAACCAAGAATTTAATCAACAAGCCTTTTGTACCACTTCTAGTCTCCCAATTTGACATTACCTCAGCCTTTGTCAAATGAAGGGCTGAAGCAATCTCTTCCGACCTAAGGATCTTCTCCCAACCTGTAAACGGGGTCTGCTCTAGAATGGAGATACCCAGTAGATCAGAGAACTCTTCCAAGGTAGGGACCAACTGGTAGTCTAGAAAAGTAAAGCAATGGTACAGTGGATCAAAGAACTGGACTAAGACACTCATCATCTGTTCATCCATCTTGGAGGTGACCAAACCCAGGAGGTGCCCATGTCTTCTGATAAAGGAAGAAATATCTGGCATCTTTGCAATCAATTCCTTAAGCTGAGTGGGAATCTGGACAAAGTTGATCCTAATAGTGTTTCTACGCATGGGTGCCATGACCTACAAAACAGAACAAAGATGAATCCCTTCTATCTTTGAAATAGGTTAGTCTTGATGCAAGATGCATGCAATGTCATGATGTCATGATACAAAACACACCACAAGTATCCACAAATAGCAAACATGGTAAAGGCACACAAGTCACACAGAGAGCCCTTAGATTTCAGGCTGGCAAGGAGTCCAGGTACTACCCTCTTTCAGTTCAGTTGGTTCAAACCTATCCTAAAAATAGTAACCGGGTTCTAGAAGATCTCAATATCATTGACTACCCTCGATCGGTCATAATTCCAGTTTAGCAACCTTTTCTTGCGACCAGAATCATCGCGAGAGTTTAGTCTCAATGAGTGTAGCATACTGCTACTGTTCTATGGCCAAGTTGGTCAATTTAAAGGTTCTAAGGTCAGTTGGTGCTTAATGACCCCTTAGCAGACCCATATTCTCCTCGTTGCGCCACAAGGGATATCGGTACATACTAAAGTGCCACACCAACGTAGCCACTGCTTCAACTGTATCGGTCTACGCCGTACAGTTCCCTCACAGTTTATTGCTACTTACCTAAAGGGTATCCCCCAGATCCGGGTTAGGATCTATAATAACTCAGATTCAACCCACAAAGATAAAGCATACAAGTCAAGCAATTGAAAATATTATGAACTATTCCTAAGGTACACCTCACTTATTAGCTCCCCAGCAGAGTCGCCAGTTCTGTGATATGGTGGGAAGAACTAACTGTTTTTAGAATGCTGGTTTGCGTTTTTCATTTGTTATTCGCAAAATGTCGCGGTAAGCAAGAGTCGCCACTGACTTTTATTTTATCCAACAAGGAAAGGAAAAAAGCACAGAAAAATTCCTTTTTCGAAATATTTCTCGGGTTCGGGGGGTAGATTATATAAAGGAAAGGTGTTAGCACCCTTTCTATCCGTGGTTATCCACGGGCTCTTAGGTACTTGCTCATTTTGTTTTAAAAATTGTTTTCTTTGTGCTTGTGGGTTTGAAAAAGTTTTTGTTTTGAAAACTTCAATTTAACTCTTGCTTCTGTCCTCAAGAGCATATGAAGTGTTTTTGAAAACTTTGTTCAAAAAGTGTGAGTGTGAAAAAGATTTTGTTTTTTGAAAGAGCAAGTATCTAAGAGCCATCTACCTACTCGAAAAAAAGGAATCATTCTATGCTAATTTCCTTTAGACAATGCTATCCCACTATTAATGAGTAGGTAGCACCATCGTTGGAGTTTGAGGGTCAATTCGAATGAGGGACATACGGTCACTAAAGCAATGTTAGGACGCTTTAGCGGTAACCCTAATGTCTTAGATCATTTGTATGAGGCAATCATATCCGAGGCAACCATTTCGAGGCGACTATGATCTTTTAGACAAGAGGGCGACCTCTAAAGAGACCTATACTCAATGACCGTGTACGAAGGCAACCAAGTAGGGATGGCAAGCAGACCCAAACCCGCGGGCCCCACTCGCACCCGCACCCGAGTCAATGGGTGAAACCCGAATTGACTGGGTTTGGGTTCGGGTTCGGGTGCCACTCGATATTTCGGGTGTGGGTTTGGGATAGCTTAAACCCGCACCCGAAACCCGAAACCACACCCGCTTATATGTTAAATTACAAAACTATGCCTAAATATATATATATATTTCAATAATTAAAAATAAAATGTAGGGTTTATTGTTCACTTGCACCACCTACCACCACCACTGTGCGACATCCTCTGGTGACACTCCTTGCTCCGGCTAACAACCGTATCTCTTTGATCCTCCCTCCGCCTGTGCGTCTCCTCTCTTCTGACCGGTAATCGCTCCGCGAGCGATCTTCCTTCGCGCGATCCTCCATCCACGATCTCTTCTCCTCCGGCTGTCCTCTCACCGTGCCCTTCCTCTTCTCCGGACAACATCATTACTTTTCCTCTTCATCTTCTTCTAGTGTTCAAAGAGGTAACATAACATCAAACTCCATTGTTTTTGAGCTTTTATGCTTTGATTTTTTATGAAGTTGAGCAATTGGATTTTGAATAGATTAATCTAATAGGAATTAACATGCTTTACATAGTTCTAGAATTGGATTAGAGATTTATGTTGAATTTGGCTTAGGAATGAATTAGGTTCTTGAATCAATTTTGTGAGATAGAAATTTAGAATAATTTATGCACATTAGGTGTATACCTTAATTCCTCATAGAAGCCTAGATTTGATTTAGGAGTAGAATAATACTTAGATTATAGTGTAGTTCTTGATTCTTGAATTAGGTTGTTAATTGAATCTAGAATGGATGTTGCTTCTTGCGGATCTTCTGATTGTTTTTCAAATCAGAACTAATGGATTTGCGAATGAAATATATATATTTATATTTACATCAAGCATGTGAGTTTAATTCTTCTTCCTATCATCTGGGTCCTTTTTTTTTCTTTCAGGCACGAGCAAAACACGACATCACAAATACTCCTATTGTTGGATGTACTACTGGAGGTGTTATATCAGCAAAAGGTAACCCTCTTTTTCATTCATTTTCTGTCGCATTATATTTTTGTCTCTCAGCCTGTATTTAAGAAATGACGGGAACATGGCCCGGCATACCTACTATGAGGTGTGAGAGCAAAAAATATTTCCCATAAAAACTATTGCCAAATGACCAGAAGTGACTAGCCTAATGATTTCTTATTTTTGGGTGATAAGGACTTTGTAATGGACAACCACTGAAACTAAATTTTAGCTGAATGCTAGAGTATACTTTTGGTTGTTGTGCACGAACACTCTAAGTTCTGTAATTCTGTTTGGAAAAATGATAAACTAAAAGCAAGGTTGAGTTTATAGTCTGTCTTTCACCCTAGTCTAATCCAAAATTTACCGAAGATTGAGAAGGAGAGTTAAAGATTGTAAATCATAGGATAGTAACACGGATCATATAATCCTACTAAATTCATGAAACTCATCTATCTACATATCTGCATTTAAATCCATTTACAAGTAAGATTGTCGATTCCACTTAATCCTAACAGATTGCGATTCGGCCTGTTATTGGGAATTTGGTATTGTCCAAGTCATGAAAATTAATGTGCTGTCATGGTGTGGGGGGTTTCTTCATATGGTGTTGGGATGGTTAGGAATTTAGAATGAAGAGTATTTATAGGAGTGACTAAGGTGGGTGAAAAAGTATTATTAACATCTATATATAATAGTAATACTATATTTCCAAGTCATGAGTCAAAATCTTCTCATTACTCTCTCCTTCCAATAAAAAGAGAAACACGGCAAAAAAAATAGTATCTAAGAATTTTCACACAATACTGTTCTTCATAGTTTAAGATGGAAAACGAAAACATTCTCAAGCAGAAGCAGGAGCTAGAGGTATCTGATATACTCAAGGAAGCTGTTATGATATATGCCACAAATCTCAACTTTATAATCTTCACCTTTCTTATTTCTCTTCCTCTCTTTTGTATAACAGTTTACTTTGAAATTCAGCTTCAAGAAACCTTAGTCGAAACTTTTTCTATTTTTTATATTCTAGAGAATAAGGACTGTAATTACCTTAAGTTGATTCAACTTGGTTTGATTTATATATTTCCTCTCCAAATTCTTGAGTTTGGAACTGCAATTGTTACTATAGACTTGGCTTCAAAGCTAAATTCACAACAAGAGAAGAAGATGACCCTTAAGGAGATGTTTGAAAAACCTCTTGGTCTGTCAAAACTAAGAGGCTCATTTCTAACTTTTATCTATGTTGTTTTCTTGACAACTTCTCATCAACTTGGATTACTATGGATAGTTATAGTTTACCATATTTGCTTGAACCATTTCAATTTTGTGGTTTTTCCTGTGATTTGCATCTTGTTGTTTGTGAAGTTGTTAAAGATGTATTTAGAATGGAGTTCTATGTGGAATATAAGTATTGTAATCTCAATTTTGGAGGGTATATATGGTATTGATGCATTAGAGAACTCTATTAATTTTAGCAGAGGGTGTCACAGGAAAGGGCTCTTTTTGATGCTGGTTTTCTTTGCATGGGGACAATTATTAAGATTTTCTTGCTACTATATTGGAGGCTATGAACAAGGAAATGGAACTTTTATACAAGCAGGTTTGTTCTGCATGGCGATTCCATTGAAATGGGTAGTTTTCATGATATATTTCAATGATTATAAGGAGAGATACTTGGGAAAGAAAATGGATGTGGAATCCGGCAAAGATGTTAGAGTTGCTCAGAAATAAGATTGAGGTAGTTTTCTGGTTATGCATATCTGCTGAATGGGCCAGTTATTTGTTCCTGCAATGGTAAGAATAGTACGAACAGTGATAGGTTTTACCACTGGTGAAAATGTCTCAGTAAAGTCAAAACCTGCTTGTTGATGAAACCCTTTTTCAACCAAGCGTGCTTTATACTTGTTGATGGTACCATCAAGGTTCTCTTTTACCTTAAAAACCCACTTACATTCAATTGAATGACAATGGGAAGAAGGTGCAACAAGGGTCCATGTATTATTTTTAAGTAAAGCATTATACTCTTCTTTCATAGCAGAAACCTAGTGGGACCATTTGAGAGCTTGTTTAACACTAGTAGGTTCTAAATGTGTTAGGAGTAAGGTAGGATGAATACAAGGCATGACAATGCCAAATTTTGCTCTAGTAGTCGTAAAGTGAGTATTTTGAGGGTGTAGAATAGGTGGAGGTGTAGTGCCATGATAAAGTTGTAGGAAATTGAAACAAGCACAACCAAAGATTTTTAAAGCTTTATAGGTTAGGTCACTGCGATGGAGGTCTAGGATTGCCAAAACCTTAGGGATTGGGAAATTGAGGACGCATCATGTTGTTCCATGGTTGAAAGCTAGACTTTCCTGCACCTGTATGAATATAGTAACAAATGGAAGCGTTGTGTGACGTGTCCAATTTTGTGGAATCTCCTCGCGTCGCACTCGGATCATAGCCCATTGCTGCTGGACTGTGAATCTTTGACAGTTGAAAAAGAGAGATATAACTTCATATTTGAAACAAAACCATGCTGTCTCGTGTAAAAACATTACTTTTAATAATAGCTTTTATCAATAATAGTTTTTATCATTTTAATTTCTTTTTTAAACTTTGTATGAATGTTAAGGTGTTTGCGATTATGAATCTTGTGGTGGTATGTTTTTTAGTGCCTTCTTAAAGTCTCATTTTCTTTTATACAATTGTTTATGAAATTTCTTGTTGTTTGTAGTAGGTAAAATGGATCAAGTGAACACAACCCCGGAACCAGAAGGAGCATCTAATCCTACACAAGAAAGTACATGTCCAACTCGGGAGGTATCTTCTAATCCGAATCCGACACTTGAACCTGATATTGGGCAACAAGAAGAAATTGATACAATTTTAGAACCTGCATCAAAGAAACTTAGAAGTAATGTGTGGCAAGAATTTAAAAAGATGAAAGTGAATGGAAAAGATAAGGCTGAATGCATCTGGTGTAAAAAACAACTTAGTGGCACTTCAAAGAATGGAACAAATCACTTGAAAGGACATATCTTGAGTTGTATTTAAAAAAAGATCAAGACTAGAAACCATGACAAAGGACAACCATTTCTCCTACCGACTATCTCAGAAGGAAAGCAAGAGTTGGGAATTGGAACTTATGATCCAGAACATGTGAAGAAGTTGATTGCTGAAGCTATTATTATGCACGATTATCCACTATCAATTGTGGATCACATTGGTCTTAGAAGAGTCTTTGTTTCTCTCCAACCATTGTTTAAAGTTCCTACTCGAAACACAATCAAGAAGGAGGTATTGAAAGTTTATGATTTTGAGAAAAAATGTGCTATGAAGATGTTAGATAACCATGAAGGGAGAGTGGCAATTACCACAAATATGTGGACTTCAAGCAACCAAAAAAAAGGGTATATGGCGGTTACGGCTCACTATATTGATGGCTCGTAGACTTTACAGAGTCGAATCTTGAGGTAACAATGTTTATATTTTATAACTTAATTGTATCTTTTTTTTTGTTCTTAATGACAATAAGTGAAAGACTTGTTTTTTGTAAATATTATGTTAGGTTCATTTATGTTCCTGTCCCTCACACTAGTGAAAGACTTGCTGAAGCACTTGTTAATTGTTTAATGGACTAGAATATTTATTCAAAGCTTTCTACGATTACTTTAGATAATTGTAGCACAAATTACTCAATGATTAGGAAAATTAAGGATAAGTTGTCGTTGGAATGTTTAATAAGGGATGGGTCTTTGTTACATATGCGTTGTTGTGCGCACATCCTAAATTTAATTGTTCAGGAGGGGCTACAAGTGATTAAGGATGGCATAGAAAATATTCGGGATAGTGTAGGATTTTGGAGTGCTACACCTAAAAGGTATGAAAAATTTGAAGATACCGCTAGACAATTGAGAATTATTTGCACTAGAAAGTTAGCTCTAGATTGTCCAATAAGATGGAATAGCACATATAAGATGCTTGATATTGCCATAGAGTACAAGGATGTATTTATTCGGTTGAAGCAACGTGAGTCTTTGTACACTTGTCTTCCAACTAATTCACAATGGCAATTTGCTAAAGATGTTTGTGGGTGCTTAAAATTATTTAATGAAGTAACTGAGTTGATTTCTGGTACAAAATATCCAACTGCCAACTTGTACTTTCCTAAGATTTGTAAGATTAAGTTGGAAATAGAGGAATGGAAGAAGTCCTCCAATTCAATTATTGAGATGATGGCCACAAGAATGATGGAAAATTTTCAAAATTATTGGAGTGGTGTTCATGATATGATGGGAGTTGCTGCAGTTTTGGATCCTAGGAAGAAGATGGTTGTACTTAATTTCTGGTTTCCTAAGTTGTATGGAGAAGAATCAAGTGCACAAGTTAGTAGAATAAAAGACATGTGTTATGATTTGCTCAATGATTATCAACAGATTAAACTTAGAGATGCACAACCTATTGCTCCATCGATTGGTACAACTGCTATTATTGATGACGAGACTGAATTTGATGCATACATTGAGACAATTGTCGTTGCCTAAGACTCAAGTTCAAGTGTTAAGTATGAGTTAGATCATTATTTGAAAGAGCCAGTTATAAAAAATACTCCAGAATTTGACATTTTGAATTGGTGGAAGGTAAATGGAGTTGTGTATCCAACACTTCAAGCAATTGTAAGAGATGTGTTAGCTATTCCTATCTCTACAGTAGCTTCTGAATCGACCTTCAGTAATAGTGGTAGAATATTGAGTCCTCATCATAGCCGACTTAACTGGACTACCGTAGAGGCTTTGATGAGTGCTAGGAGTTGGCTATGGGCTGCTGAGAATAACGGTATGTCATTGTCAAATTATTTTTACTTTCTACCTTAATTTTTTTGTTATATAATGTATTACTACTTTGGTATGTCATTGGCAAATAATATATTACTAATTTTCTTATTATATAATATATATAGGAATTTTTAGAGTTGCAGAAGAAATTGCTACTGTGTTGAATGAAATGGAGTCAGGCGATGAAGGTATTTTGTACTTCATTTGGTGTAGAAGTTTTAAGCTTTAGTGTTTTATTTAACATCAATTTATTTGTTAATACAACTGAGTTGATGGAAGGTTGTTTGGGTTACCATTTTGAAGATTAGAAGTTGTTGTTTCTATATGTTAACATGGTGAGTATTATTGTTTCTATCTTCCACCATTGTTGCCCCGACTAATTTGCACTAATGCTTTTGATATTAGACAGTTCTTTTAGTGTTGTGCTTATGTTTCTAGACAGTTCAAAAACATGATATTTAACGCGCATGCAAGCATGCTGAAAGTTAGTAGACAAACATTATTATAGGCAGTTTTATTCCAGTTGCAAACATGATAAATTATCAAGAATATGGCATGTTAAAATTATTACAATTTAAAAGTGATATGTTATCTGTGTTGTAAGCTATTATATCTTTGTATGTATCAAGAAGTGGTCTAAAGGATTCTTCTTATTACAATTTAAAAGTTCAGCATTACCAAGAATTAAGTTACATGTTTTATATGTTTTAAGTTTCACATGTTTGTTATTACAATTTAAAATTATGATGATAATATCTATTAGTGTTTCTTAACATGTGAAATATATTTTCTTTGTAATAGGTAAAATAGATCAAGTGAACACAACTCCGGAGCCGGAAGGAACATCTAATCTTACACAAGAAAGTTGTAATATATTAGCTTGTTGTTGTTGAAAAGTTGTAATTTGATTGTAGAATTTAATTTTAATTGTAATGTTAAGATGTTGAAGACTATGTTAAGATAATTGTGATTGCATTTTCTTGAAGACAATGTAAAGAGACCTTATTTTAATTGTAATTTTTTTTTTGATTTTTGGTGCGGGTTTGGGTGAAAAAACCCGAACCCAACGGGTGCGGGCGCGGGTGTGATTTTGTCACCCGAATAGCCTTCGGGTTCGGGTGAAAAAACCCGAACCCAACGGGTGCGGGCGCGGGTGTGATTTTGTCACCCGAATAGCCTTCGGGTTCGGGTTCGGGTTCGGGTGATGATTTCGGGTGCGGGTGTGGGTAGTGTGAAACCTGCACCCGACCCGACCCGTTGCCATCCCTACAACCAAGTGGGATATACCCTAGGAGTGCGCATGTGTGAGTGTATCGTTTTCAGTTTATTTTTATCTTTGTACATGTTAAAGGTGATCTAAGTTGACTTTAAGATTAGCATTCAGTCTTGTCATGCAAACCCTATTATCAAACATCTAGCAGTTATAATTTGCGAAAAATAAAATGCGGAATTTAAATAACAAGGCGTCGGGTATTTACATCGCCAAAGACAAACCCTTTGAAAAATAAATAAAGCGATAAAAATAAATAAAAGTCCTATTTACTATTACATCAGCTTTGAATCTGGTGCTTATGCATTGACTGGCGCCTTGTGGACCATCAGCTTTGAACCACCTGATCTGGCCTTTGGCCATCTGGCGTTTGAGTGGATGAAGGACCATGGTGGGCTGTACACTTGAGTATGCATATGATCATCTGAAAAACAAAATTATTAAGGAAGTGGGGGACCTGGGATTCGAACCCAGGTCCTGAAGGATAATTCTTTGCACGCTTGCCACTACACCATGTTGTTCTGTTTGTTAGTATAATATGATTAAACAATAATATAATAAAACAAAGTTAATGGCCAGAACAAAAATAAACGCGCGCGTGGTTTGAAAGGGCCAATGGGCAGGGGACACCTCATCGTCCCTGT